TCAGGGCAGGTCACGGAGGCAGAAAATGGACAGAAACCAACTTTCCCTGTGAAATCTGATGGACCACAATAGGTACAGGAGCTCATGCCTATTTTGAAAAGTGGGAACATGGTTAAGCAGAGCAGAGTCTGCCCTCCTGCTTGCTTGATCCCAAACAATTTGTTTCCCTTTCCTGGACGAGTGGAGACACCTCTCTGGGGAGTGCTGCTCCCGGCTCTGAACGCAAATGTATCTGCAATAACGAGCAGCTCTGGGGACTCACAGAAAGGGATGTACTGAGACGTGGAGTGGGTGGGAAAGCTGGAGGCAAGTGCCAGTCCCGGTTTGCATGGGAAGCTCTGTGCTGTATGAGAACAGCCTGTTCCAGGGGGGAGACAGGGTGGCTTTTTCAGTGGGGACCTGAAAAGCAAAGAAGTTTGTGCAGATGCATGGCCAACCCAGGGCTCAACAGGGCAGTGCTTATGGTAGTGGATACCCTGAGTTATTTTAAAAAGAGATGAATGAGCATACCATTAGCTTAAAATCAAGGTGGTTTTTTTTTTTTACTGATACTGGCAATGTACATCATAACAGCCTTTTTCTGCTGTAGGGATGTGATTAGATGTGTCAGTCAACTTACCCTCTTAACAGTATTTTTTAGTTCCTTTTTTCACCTCGACTGCTGTATTGTGCCTGCAGCCCAGTAACCCACCTGCCCTCTCCCTGCCATGCAGTTCTTAATGCTGTATGCATGCGGATTTCCATTCTCTAAATTCTTTATAGAAATTCCTATTCAATTTAATAATTCATATCCTCATTAATCTAGCCTATTTTATAGCCATTAAATTCACTGACAAGGAACACGTTACTTTGGAGACAGCTCCTGTACAATATCTTGTACTACAGATAGGTATTACAGACAGGTGCTGCATTTCATATAATGAACAAATGTCTGTGAAGTCTCCACAAATCTTATTGCAAATCTGAGGTTTGAAAATCTTGGCCACAATAACTTCAACTTTTAAAAGTCACTATAAATCCTGCTTTTATTTATTTTTTCCCCTCAACAATCATCTTTCTACCTACCAGCTGATGCTTTTGCTTGGTCAGCTCTGCTCAGAGAGGTCTCTCCCCGCAGGTTGTCTCACCCATCCCACTCCGAGTGCCCCCAGCACCACAGCAAGGAAGAAAAGCTGCAAGGAACCAACACCTTGTTATGTCTTTAGGTGGCTTTTTGATGATTGTGTGAAGCTTTCCATTTCTCATGTGAGACTTGTTTTGTTTGAAAATGATTTTTGAGATGTTTCCAGTGGCGTTGACATCTCCTCTGTCTAATCCAGTGGCACAGCCTCACCCCTGCATTGTGTCTGTTGTTTGGGATATATTTCTCGCTCTCTTTCCAATCATTTAACTCTCTTCCCTCTGTATGAGTGACAGTTAAATCTTTATTTGACCTGTGCTTGTGTTGAGGGCTCTGTGCAGTTTTTGAAGGGCATCACAGCCTAGGAATCCCAATGGATTTGGGCGACACTTGAGTAGTTTAAGTACAAGCTGTCTTACGGGGATTTGTCAGCTGATGTGTTGCTAAGGCTTTGCCAGCTGGGGTCCAAATGCTGTGCCTGATTTACCAGCAATAAAGCCCATTGCACCGGCCTTCATCTTTCTTGGAGAGAGCCTTAGAGTGAAAGAGAGAGTGGGAGAGGAATAGCTGCTCCTGTCGGTCTCCCCTCTGTCATTAGGGGTGGAGGGACCATGTGCTGCCTTCATGATGCCGATGCTCTCTGCTTTAACTGGCTCTGTGTTCGGCACTGCATGTCTTTATGCAGCTGACAAATTATATGACAGGTTAAAGATTATTCTAATCTGCTCTGCTACTCTTCTGGAATAAGCTGAAAAGGGAGCGTTTACCATATGTGTTGTGTTATTCTAGCTAGCGTATCCAACCTTGTTTATCTGTCGCCTTCACACCTCATGATTTTCTGTGATTCAAAACTGATTTACTGTTAACTGTTTACAGTGATTTGAACAAGAGAGGCTTGCAAAAGAGACAGGAAAAAGGTTTAATTGCTGATTTCCCGTGTTCTCCTGGGGCTGGTTCTGTAGGATTCCCATTCAAGTGATTAAGGAGAGAAGCAAATGGCCCGTGTAAGCAGACTTGTTTCCTGGCTATCTCAGCAATTGCCCTTGACACAAGTCGACAGCATTGGATGTCCCAGCCTTCAGCCTTTCCTATCCCATTTTTTTCTTCCTGCAGTATAGATAGACAAGAGGGATGAGTCATGTTTGAGCTCTAGCTTTAGAGACTCGAAAGGTTTTTGTGCAGGGCGTTGCATTGCCAATGTTTGGTTTCCTTTTTGTACTTGTGTTACTGTTATAGGAAGCATTTTACCCTGTAGGTGATATCATCCCACATCTTCCTCCATAAGATCTTGTGAAAAATTTACACAAATAGACTTTGCCTTAGCGGTCAGGCATTGCCTCCTTAGAAACCTGGAAGGGCTGGCTGCTCCTTAGCTCTGTGCCGGCAGGATGGGGAATAGCGTGTGCAGCCTGTGCACGGAAGGGTGTTCAATGGTTTTGCAATGAGTCATGAAGCCTAATTTAACGAATTCACACTTAGTAATGTGACAACTGTGCTTATGGGGTACGGAGCGGGGGAACAGCTAAGGGACGTGTTAAATCACACGGAGAAAAGCAGATCTTGGCTGGAGATAACCATGTTGGCTTTCACCCATTCTGATGAAATGAAAGCTGTGTTGACCTGTCTTACTTGTTCAACACCTAGATTCATAGTTGGTGAATCAGTACAGTAGATTTGGAGTTGATGAAGTAATTCACAGTTATATTTGAAGACCTCCAGAAGAGGAGGGGACAAGGGTAGTGTGGATGAATGACACCCAGTCTTGTGTCTGGTACTGGTGCTTTCTCTCCTGTATGCTCTACCATTTGATTTATGAGATTTTGCAGGCAGTCTCTAAAGTGAGTGAAGGGTTGGGGCAGATGTGGCCTAGAGCAGTAATTTCTCTCTTTCTCTGCATGCCTGCCAGCCTGCCTGTTAAGGGTTTTGTATAAGAATATATTTCTCTAAAGTCAGAATTGAGCAGCAAGCAATTGATCTAGCTGGAGATGTGAGTTGGTCAGCTTATGGAAAGCAGAGCTAGGGGACAGGAAGAGTAAGCTTCTGTATCCCTTTTTCATCCACGCTGGTAAAACTGCTGCTTCAGTGGTTGTTGTTTTTCTCATCTGCTCATTGTGGATCAGCGATTCTGGATGGAAAAATTCTAATGCTGGGCCTAAATTTGAGGTTAATAATTTAGCTTGTTATCTTTATGCTGCTACTGGGATGCCTTGTTGTCTTAATGAAGTTGCACAAATGCTGTGTATCTTGACTGCCCAATGAGAAGAATGATACCCCTGTAAACTTCTTAGGGATCTGTAAAGGAAATGCAGAATTACTATCATCTGTTGCGTCTTTGACTTTATAATTTCAGTCTAGGTTTTCTGCTTCACCCATAATCAGGTACAGGTATAATCAGATTCACAAGGAGTAGCTTTCTTGCTCTTTGTGTAAGTTTGATCCCACCCCTGGGTTCAACACATGCTCGCTGACACCATGCTAGTTTGGAAACCACTCATCACTGGAAGTAGCCAGACTGCAACGTGCTTGGGCACAGGGCACATTTTCTCTCTCTAAATACCCTGTAGTTATGGCTCCAGCAACTACAAAGGGGTGTTACCCAGATGTGGCTTTGCCATACGTAGGTATAGCAGAGTGGAGTGTAAAACCTGATGTGATATTGAAGAGTACTATTGCCCTACAGAAGATTTTTCATATTTCCTGGTCAAATGTTCCTACAGGGGCCTTCTATGTACTTTGCAACCAGCAACAGCTCATAGGAAGAGTAGAGCGTGCTGAGGAAGTGTGTATGCACGCAGCCTGGGAGAAAAGCACATATAGGGTTTTAAATAGCTTATGAAAATATTTGTCACCAGTACAACATGATGCTTCTCAAACTGGATTATGATAGGAGGCTAAAAGTTTGTTGCGTTTTATTTTTTTTTAAATAGCTTGTTTTAAGTAGATTCAATGCAAAATTAAGTAGAGGCAGAAAAGAAATTAAGCTCTTTGACAGTTATGATGTTTCAGAAATTCCTTGGTGCATCCCAAACCAGAGAAATTAACCTCTTCTTGGCAATGGTTAACAAGAAACTGTTGGTACTTCTTTTTACTAGATGTGGGGAAAGTAGTTTGAAGCTGCATTTATTTTCTTCAGTCTTTGGTGGAAAAAAACGTTGCTTTTTTCTGGTTAACTTTTTAATTTCTTGTTCCTGTCTTCATGTCTGTTTTGTCTTTTTGCCGTGCTTTTTTGGTGCAGCTTTTAAAGTTTAAGCGACTCAAGGAAGAAATGCTTGGTCAAATTCTGTCCTCAGTTACTTGGGGGAAAAAAAGTCAGAAAAATATATTGACTTTGCTGATATAAAGCTGGATGTTTATTGCAGTAACCCACCAGCAAACCAATAGAACTTTATCCTGTTCTCTTTGTTCATTTGCAAATTGACTTGTCTAGTTATGAGGCTACGTAAGTACAATATAGTAGGCTGTTTTCAATTGCTTTTAATTCAAGGCAGAGGATCCAGCACCTGCCAAAGTGGGGTGACCAAAGCAGTGCTTGTCTTCTGGTGAAAAGGTCAAAACAGAAGTGTGGTGTAAAGCCTAAAAATGAGCCTCAAATAATAAATAATAAATAAATTCTGTCTCTACAAAATTAGCCTTTCTCTACATCCAAATGTTTGGCTGCACTGACACCTCCAAGCAGATCCTTAAACTCGAGAGCAGATGTTTTAATGCTCTTACGTTCGCTTTGTCAGTATGACGCGTCAACAGTGAGTTGCAGCCCTGCATTTACATGGCAAGCACCGGTCTGCTTCGGGCTGGTGACTTGCTCTTTGACCTCATTCTTCCTTTGAAGCTGCTGCGGCGGTGTGTGTTTGTAAGCTGTGCCGAGGCACCGCGTCCCTCAGCCCTGTGCCTGTTTGTCCACAGACAAGAAAAAAGCAGGCAAATTCCAGCCTTTCAAGAAGCTCTTTGGTAAGAGGAAGAAAAGAGAGCCCACGTCAGACTGCGAGGAAGCCAAACTGAAGCCCAGCCACTCCTTCGGCAACGTCTGCAACGGCACCTTCTCCTCCGATGAAGAGCCAAACAGTGGTCTGAGGTAAGCTCACACGGGTCTGCTGCCAGCCCGTGCAAACACAAGGCTTGTTCTCCCTGCTTTTAATGGAATTAAATTCTCCCTCCGCCGAGTGGTAGCAAGTTGTACACTGCTTGTTAGGAAGCGTATGCATCTCTGTCCCTCCTCTGAACGTGACACCCGCTGCTGCAGACCCAGAGGTCTCACTTCTTGCACGTGTTTCTTATTGGGTACATGTGCCGGTCTGCAAAAAAGAAATCCCAGGGTGAAGCAGAAATTAATTTGAATCTGGCTCCGTGATTTACTAGAACTCCATGGCAAACACCTGAGCAGAGGTATTAACGGCATCTGTGTTTTTAATACTGGGGAAAGGGAAACTTGAACTGGCTGCTACAGATACTTTATTGCATACTTTTCCCTGCAAGGTGCTATCTCTGGGTCAGGACGGAGACATCCTCTTTCAGTCTATCCCGTTCAGTTTTTGCCCTGTAGTTGGGGTCAACAAACAGGATGCTTTTATTCTGATCCGAATTGAATGTAGAGTAGAAGGAGGAAGACAGGGGAGAGAGACACCGGGAAATAGATTGTATTCCAGTGACAAGAGAGGACAGGAGGAGAGCATGAGAATTTGCTGCAGAAATGATGGGAGAAAAACTGCACAGAGTTAACTAGTCAGCAATATCTAACTAGGAACAGAACAGAAAAAAAAAAAAAAACCAAAACAAAAAAACCCCACCCCAACAACAAAAAAGAGCAAGACCAGATGCACAAACTAATTGGGTCAGTAATACTTATTTCACTTTCCAACTGAAAGTCTCAGAGAGGTTAGTTGACTTTGGCCACAAAGCCTGCTTCTTTGGAAAAAAAGGAACTGTTTGCACTGGGGAGTGTGAAAGTAAAAAAATCTGAGAGGATCAAAAAAACATACCAAATTTCCCTGCTCAAGAAAGAAATGTGTATCAGAAACATCACTCTGCAGAGTATTTTCAGTGGTGCAAAATCATAGTTGTAAAAATGTGGTGTTTGGGGTTTTTTTTTAAGCTTCTGGATTTTTTGTTCCATTCCGTGAAATTCTCTCAGTTCTAGGTTTCCCCCTTGGTTTCTGCAATGCAATATTGTGCACCTCTTCTGCCTCTCCCAGCTTTTCAGAAAATCAAGACTGAGCATAGTCACGGTGTAGATGGAGACGTGACTGACTCCTATTGCGTTGCACTGCCTGTGTGCATGATGCCGAGCAACTGTAGGAAGTTACAGTACCTTTTGCCTCAGGAGCAAACTAGTGAACAAGAGCAAAACAAAGGGATCTCGCTATCAGGGTTTTCCCATTCAGTGTAACTGAAAATGCAGTGCTGCGCCCAGAAACAACCAGTGATATGGGAACTTGTCCCATTCGTCAACGGTGAAGGGAAGGTGTGACAGACCCTTGTGAGACGGCTAAATGCTTGCATTTTTAAACATATTAATTTTTCTAATTAATAAAGGCATTAAACATAAGTCTCTAGAGGAATAAACTAGACTGCAGAATTTAAATCACAGGGGATTAGCAAATGTGAAGGGTCCCACGACTCATTTCAAGTGGAACATTTCTTTCTGCGCTTGTGATTCGTGAGAGGTGCTTCTGTTTTAGCCTGCTAGAAATACTCAGTCAAAACTCTGTTTTCCCCGTCGGGCTTCATGGTGCAAATTTGGATGGGATTTGATAATAATTTTCAGTTTGCAGGTAGTGTTTGCCACATTACTCATCTTACAACAAGCATAGATGTTAAGTGCAGTGCATTAGATTGCTTTGGGGAGCTTAGCTTTGCCACCCTTTTCTGTTTTCAGCAGCGTTGCTTCCATCTGTTATACTTTTTTTGCCTTTAGTATAATTTCAAATGTTTATGAATTGAATGCAGAGATAAGCTATCTAAGTAAAATAATATATGCAGTTGTTTATAAGTTGTCTAACAGTAAATACATTACCATACCTTCCATTATTCATATAGAAACGGACCAGAGCAAATATAAATAACTAGTAGTATATTTATATAACCAAAACCTTGAGTCGTTTTATAAAACTGTCTGCTTCAAACTCTTTAAGAATATACAACATATATAACTGTATCTATACAAAAGCATAACAAAAGTTCCAGTTTTGCAATGAAGTTCAGGGATGCTCCCGTTCCCTTAGTAGAGCTATATTTCTTCATTAACCTGTAAAGTACATTAATTTGTTATCTGCAGATGGTTCATGTGGACTTTTTGTTTTGTTTTGGGGAGGGGGAGGTTATTATTTTGAAAAGATACTAAGGAAGAAAGCTGCTTCAGGAAGGTAGAGACAAGAAAATAAATGAGTATAGGCTAAATAAGAGATCTGTATTGCTTCCAAGACCTAAGCTAGTATTTCACTGCGTGGTGTATTGGCTTACAAGCCTGCTTGGAGCTAATGCCTTAACCTCTAATAGAGACTGAGCCGACTGGGTGATACAGACATACCAGGAGCAATTTAGGTAATCTGCATATGGTGTAGATTGACTAGCTGAGTTGGAAGCAGCCTGAGAGATCTTCCCGTCCATCCTTTCTTACAGCTACTTCCTGGACTCATCAGATGCAAATAACTTGCTTGGTATCCTGATGTGTGCACACTTCAACCTATTTATTCACCCATGTTGTTTTGCAGTTCCCAGGTTTGCAATTTGTCTTGCCCTGCCTTGTGAAAGACTGGAATTCCTTTTTCCACTTTTATATTGCCCTTCTCGAGTTTACAAAGTTAAAACTGTATTCATTAACTTTCTGTCCTAACCGTATGAGCTGGGAAATAGAAGTGCTTGTTACAAGACAAGGTAAATTACATTTGTGGAGCTTCACTAAATTCTCCAGAAGCTTCTGTTCTGAGGCTATGATTTGGCACTTTGTAAGATTCTGTATTTGTCTTATTTGTCACAGTTGACACTAAGCAAGCATTGTGAGGAAATACATGAAAGGGCACCTGCGTGGTGCCCTACGAAAAATTTGTCATTCTGGGTTGATGTGCAGAGGCAGCAAGGAATTACATTTTTCTTATACAGGGTACCTTTCGCTTTTCTTATACAGAGTGCCTTTACTTGGGCTGAATGTAATATTTCAAAGGACCTGGAAGTAGATCTGTCAGGTCTTTAAGACTCAAGTGTGACAACATTGATCTTCTTCCAGGGAAAAGTCTTGGCAACGTTCAGTCTCTTGAATGTGTCTGTCCATGAAGTGGGACCCCTTTATTTGTAAATCCCCATCAAGTTCTGCATAATCCCTGTAAAACTGTTCTCAGGTCACCTACATAAAGTCATCCTCATTATGAAGAAATCAGCTAAAGATCTTAGTTCTCTATATATGCTGAGGAAGACTGTCTGTGAAGAAGAAAGCATGAGAGATTTCCTGTCTTGTAAACGACTTTGCCCAGTATTTGCTGAACCTTTGTCAGCATGAATTGCTATTGGGACTGGACCGCGAATCACCCAGCTCTTTGCCTAGTAGAGCTGTGCTAAACTGTACAGCGGTTTCTACTCAGCTAATGAATTCAGCTTCTTTTCTGCTTGTGGGGACCACGTGCGTGAGCAGTGTGATTTCTGCAAATGTGTTAGTTCTTTGAAAATGCCTCATTTTGGCAAGCAAAGTTGCTATTTGCTATTCAAGCTGTATCCTTGTTGCACTTGATCAGATAATTCAGAGAGATCGTATAATTGCACTGATTTCTTCTACAATGATTGTAGAAGCCAAATGAATTCCCTTGCAAATATAAAGTTTGGTTTCTGACAATTTTACCAGCAGAACTTCAAAATTATCTTTCCTTGACAATTGTCCTGACGTCTTGCCAGGAAACTTCAATTCTAGAAATGTAAACTGAGCATATGCAGAGCTGAAGGACAATCTTTCAGTACTTTTTGTAATATTTGCCCAGTGTCTGCACTCAAAGACAGACTTCGCATGGATTTAAGGCAAGTATTTTGCACAGTTCTCCTCACTAGGCTATATAGGTAAGCAAAATAAGCAATAAAGTGTTTATGGACCAAAGCTGGGGCAAGGAGCACAGTGTGTTCCCAAGCTGCATCAGGAGTTTTATTGCTTGTGATGGGAAGTTCCCAGGGGGGGAGGCCCCAGGGTGACAAACCGGGACGCAGTGCCAAAGATGCAGCACAAGCCAGGTCACGCATCTGTATGGAGCTGCAAGTTGTGTGAGCGGCTGTCTCCTCGTAAGAACTGACATCTGAATATCTCCGGGCAGTCCGCCTGCCAACGCCAAGAGTGAATCTTTCCATTTGAAAAGAGCAGAAGGAGGACTGGGGAGAGGAGGGGAAAAAAAAAGCATTTCATTGTCATCTTAAGAGGCCTTCATTTAGTAATTTGCTAAAAGTAATTTTTGTCAGGGGCTGGGTGGGTTGGGCTGTTTCACTGGTGCTTTACACCTGAGTCCAAAAGCCACAGACAGTCTGAACGTGGAAAGGAGACGGTGGTTTCGTACCAGCCATCAGCGTTTATAGTGCAAATTTGGCTTCTCTCTGCTTAAGAGAGGCCAAGGGCAGTGGTGGAAAGAATGTCAGTGACGCATAGATGGGGCTTCCATGGAATGGGGCACGCGCGTAACACATTTCTTGGAGGATACTTGGCCACTACTGGCCTTCCTTGAAGTATTTTTTAGAGGGAAAATAACGTGATCAAGATTTGATCAGTCAGTTGAGTTGTGGTTTCGGCAATAAATTCCAGACAGCTGTTATTGTTTATGTAAGAGGTATTTGACCTGTAAAGTATAAATTTTAATTTTACATTAATTTTGAATTCTGCGCCTGAATGGCCACAAAGGGCACAAGCACAAATTTTCAGGCAGAAAAAAGATAGGAGGTATAGCTATCAACATGGCTAAGTCATGATCTCTTTAACGTGCTGAAATTTGAGAAAGAAACCTACAGAAAGTGGAAACAAATGATGAATCGCAGAGGAATGTAAAAGAGAAGGAGGAGTAATTTTATGAATTCTTTACTGATAGGAGGAGGTCTAAGCAAAGAGTTGGTCCT